GGGAGGGGGGGGGGTCAAAAAAAGAAACTAAAGACAAAAATGAAACTAAAACTGAAAAAAGGCTAAAACAACGCCTCTTATCACCTCGCTAGGGGTACCAAAGATGCTTCCCCGACAACGGCGCCGAAAAAAGTTTGATTGTCTTTGATCCGGTTTTGGATGCAGATAGTCCTAACTTTTTTCCCCGAGGGTGACCTTGGGTATCAAACCCATTGGAAGTAATGCTAATAGACATGGATTCAAACAAGTTGTTGTTGACGTTAGGAGCTCCAATTTCCAGGACCGAATATCGCAAATTGTACTTGAGAGAAAACAATGATATGAAATAGGCTAAAGCATGAGGACTTTACTTACAACCTTATACCTACACTTAGGATCTTATCTTCATTTCCAATTTGGTATTGGTAGACACCTTATGATGTGTTCTCAATGCTAGAGTGGGGGGTGCTCCCAAATAAGGCTAGGACCAATCAGCAACCTGCATCGTGCGTCTATTGTCCAACCAATGCTCTTAACGTCGCGTGGGGTTATCTCGGTTATTAAGGATTTCTCGAGACCAGTGCATTGGGCGTTTAATGACTACAACTCATGGTCCCCAAGGAGTTGTTTTCGACTGCAGTATAGCCTTTAGTATATCATACTAATCCTTACTTTCATCGGCTTCCGCTATAACCTTCCGTGTGTCCTTGCACTTTACCTCCTCCTTGATCGATTTACGGGATCCTAGATAACTATGGGGCCGTAGAACGAGAAAGAGACAAGAGATAAATCTATTGCGATAACTCATACAAGTAACTTTTAATTAAGCAATGTCAATACCAATGATCATGTGCACAAGTACATATGGTCACCTCCCGAACCTTCTATGGTCTCTTATGTTCCATAAAAAATCGTCAAAATGTTTTGTCGTGTTTGGACCTTTGTAGTAATCGATTTTTCACAAAACCAAAAACAAGCAAAAAACAACAACTCGCACTCGACACTAGATTAGTCTATTAGTCCAGAACAATAGTATAAAATGATGGCCAAAGTATGTAAGAATGATAATATGATAGAATTTAACAATAAAAAAATTATATATACGATTGAGACATATCACTCCTCGGGCCCTGCCCTCGGTTTATGTAGAAACCAGGGGGCCTCGGGTTATATTGTCCTAGCCGGCTACATATGAGGAAATCGAGTCTACGATGAATCTGGCGTCTTGGAGTACACGACAAGTTTTCAAAAGCCTTCCATTGCTATGCCATGGGCCGTCTAACATGGCCCACTCCCGAACCAACATGGGGGTCCTCGGCCCGGCTCACCTGGCTAGGCGATGACGTGGTGAGAGACCCCCTAGCTAGGACACCATCAGATGCCGGGTTGCTCTAGCCGGCGAAAGAAGGATATGGGCATCTGTCATTGGTAAGTATACATGGTAGATACAAACACAATACAAACATAATCACTTGCAAACCATATATGAGAAACGTATGCGTGTCAATTGCTCGTCGGAGTCCTCCGTGTACATTTGCCATCGTCACCTATAACCTGTAGGCTATCTATATGATATTTACATTAACATGGCAATCTCATGGCTCAAGCCATCATGCCATGACGTGCATGCCACTTAATATTACAACATATAATTATCTCATACATAAACTCATTATCACGATGAAGTCTATACCACATCGTATGCATACCTTGCAAAATCAAGTTAGACGTCCTCTAATCGGTTTTAGCAAAATTTTGGTTATGCGGTTAAACAGTTTAGCCAAATAATACTAGCTATCTACGTGCACAAAACAAGCAATGATTCTTGATGCTAGATTAAGTTTCGGGGTGTGTGAAAGAAGAGACTTAACTAAAAATCTCGCCCCACACTAAACTTCGTCAAATACGCGTGACACCTAGAAGATCGTCCATCTTCATCACCCTCTTGTGTACGCGATGGTTCACTGTTATCAACTATGGCGGAGCCCGAGGAACTGTTAGCAGATCGTCAACGGTCAAAGCCGAGCGATTGTCAAAACCTTGTGAAAAGCGACACCATGCCATCGATGAATTGAACCAAAACAACACTCGAGGGAAGCATAGCAAGAACAACAACCCTCACAATCACATGTGATCTAGATCGCAACCTGCAACTACTCATATAACCTTGGTCATGATGCCACTATTGGGAAACATAGTAGAAAACAAAAATTTCAGGCCTACGCACAATCAAGATCAATATGAAGATGCATAACCGGTTGGGATCACGATCGTTACCGCACCGAGTAGCAGCAGAAGAAAAACATGTTGGTGTAGATCGTACTTGGAGTCCCTCGAACCGTCGATGAACAATCCCGTGAACTGTCCATGAACAATCCCTCAAACTGAAGATCAAAAGCACGACCTCCCTACTTGGTTGCAAGCGTGCGGGCTTCACAATCTGGGAGCGCTTCATCGTCCAGAGCTAATCGTCGCTAGAGAATTAGAGGGACAAGATTAGAACCACATAGTGCTTCTAGTTATGAGGACAAGAGGATTATCCTAGCTCTAATTAGTCAACTAGGACCAACTAGAACTAGAAACAGAAGAACTAGAGGAGGCTCCAAAACTTGTATGTACAAAAGAGCACAAATCCTCAAGTATATATAAATGAGAGGGGAGAGGGAGGGCTACCACCAAGGAGGGAAAGCCTCCTTGGGGCGCCGGCCAAGGGGGGGGGTGCAGTTGGACTCCTCCCTCACTCCTATTCGGCCTCCTTCCTTAGGGTAGGGGCGCCTCCACCACTTGGGCCCTTGTGGCCCAAGTTGCCTTCCACCTCTTGGCTTTTTAGGCATGTTGATATTAAATTAAATCTAAAATTGTTTCAAATACTTACAGACCATTTTATATAATTTAACATCATCGAAAACATTTTTCACCTATATATATATATATATATATATATATTTGTCGGTAATACCCGATATAAACCGAAACCCTTCCGGTGACCCCGAAACACTTTGAGATCTTCTCAGAACTATGCCGAATATTAATGAAACAATTCCACAAATATATTCTCATCAACCCCATCCTACTAACACTCAATAGATCATGATTTCCTTAAGTTTGTGACCCCGTAGGTTCGCTAACTCATAGACATGAACGAAATCATTCATTCAATGACCGACAGCGGAACCGTCGACGTCCTTATAGATCCCTATGAGCACACTAATGATATTTGAGTGAACCTTTGGTTATTATGTGATGTTCCCTTTGCTTTGCGATACTTTACAAAACCCGGGATGCATTGGTATCCCCCTAAGTCATCACATGCTTACTATACCGAAATCCTCGTTATCGGTTTTGTTCTTCTTTCTTGTTATTGTGTTCCGGCATCCCCGTGACGTAGTCACCTGTGTCTAGTTAGACGAAGATGGATGTCATCACACCAAGAGGGCCCTAAGAACATCTCTCCATGTTCAGAGGAGCAAGTCCTACTCTCGAGCTATCTAGTCCCTTGTCAAACTTTCCGATGAGCCTATAAGTTATCATTATGATCACCGTGTTATAAGTGACGTTTCAGCAACCCAAAGTCCACCGTACAGTAAGGAGTGACTATGATACTCTCATGGTCCAAGGAGCAAAATCACATGCTAACACTCCATGTTATTACAATTGATTACAGACGATATTATCTCAATTCATAACAAACAAGTTTGGGTTGATTCAGTATGATTGTTCTTCCAACGTCATAATCTCAATGTTATTTTAGGACTGTCATTACACTTAATGATATCCTAGGATTCGAAAATGTGATTATCAACAACACTTGAGCTAGTCTTAGAGGTGAGACTAGGAACTTTTATTTTATCCATTTACCATTTCACACATGCATATGAGTTTTCCACTGAATCACATATTCCAGGATCATAGCAGTTATAGCATGAAATATAAACACTTAATATGAATATGAAAATATAATAATACAATATTATTGCCTCTAGGGTATATTTCTAATAGACTCCCACTTGTACTAGAGTCAATAATTTAGTTAGCACTTTTAACTTTTACACCAATGGCAA